CTTTGCCGGCTATTTTATAAATACTGCGGGACTGGAAGATATAGGTTGTCGGCAGTATTTCGACAAATTGCTGGTTGGCTTTAAGCAGAAAATTTTGAAAGTAGCGTTTGAAAGTCTGCGGAACAAATTCCAGTGAGAGTTCTTCAATGGTTCTCACAGACTTAGTTCGCTTGTTTCGGTTCGACAAAATCAACCATCGTTTATGTCTGTATTGTTCCATTGACCGATCATCGCCAGTAAATTGTACAAGATATCTTTTTTTAGATCTGGGATATTGCTGTAACAGCCGATAGCACTTCTGGAAGGCATTTCTGCGCACTTTTCGAATGTGTATTGCACCATCCTGAAGGAAATGAGAGGACGTGAGATATTCGACCTTCCTGGGTAGATGTCACAACAGCCGCTGGACCCATTCTCCTCAAACTCGGTCGTGAAACAAAATGGCGCTGTTTTGGGGCTGTTTTCGAGATTTCGTCGAGGCACAGAAAATCGAGGATTTAACCGAATCTAAAAATTTTTTCGCAGAAGTATTTCAAATATCATGTAGATTCATTTTAGCGAAAAAAAAAATTTGGAGGTTAGGTGCACTTTAACTACAACAAAAGTCCCTTCGAGAGACGACTGCGGAGAACTTTATTTAGCTTGCTTTGCCTTTTGAAGCCTCTGTAAGGGCCAATTTACACGGTACGACTTTCTCGCATGCGACAAGCTTACGACAGGCCTACGAAAAGAATTGTTTCGTGTAAATCAAACCTACAACTCGCTTACGACTGTTGTGTACGTCAAAAAAATGTCGCGGGATTTTAAAACGTGTTTTAAAACGCTACGACAAGAAAATGACGTATTTTGTGACAAATTTCTACTGAGTAGGGGACGAACGTGAAGTTTTCTTGCGTCAAAATGTTGGACGAAGTTGTTGTTGACTCTGATTCACATGAACTCGTTTCTCGAAACGTACGGAACGGATTAAAGCGAAAAACAGCTCGTTAGAAAGTTTTTTCAAAGTGCAGGAGAGCCAAAATATTTGTTTACTGTTTGTTAGAACTTTCGTTCCGAAAATCCAGTTCCAAACTTTTGCATATTT